TCATGTAATTAATCTCTAAAGCCCAAAGCACACGTGAGTCTAGCCGTCGCCCTCATGTACCAAAGGAAGCCGCGCCTGCCCTGGCTCCGTGCTGGCTGTCCCGGTGCGTGACCCACGCACGGTGCTACTAGGAACTCAGTGCTGTTAGCGGCACTGCCTGCCTCCTGGCTCTCCCAGCATACTGATCCGTACATTGGTTACCTTGGCCCCTATCGGCTTCACCCGGACTGCCTTTAGAGCTGTCTTTAAACATTCATTCTGAATCTAATTCTCAGTAGATTCTGTAATATTCCTGGAAATGCACATTAGCATTTGAGTTATAAAATGAAGTCAGCTTCCAATCAAAAGTTTGGCCCTCACCGGTTTGGCTCAGTGGATAGAGCGTCAGCCTGCGGACTGAAGGGTCCCAGGTTCAATTCTGGTCAAGGGCATGTACCGTGGTTGCGGGCACATTCTCAGTAGGAGGTGTGCAGGAGACAGCTGATCGATGTTTCTCATCAATGTTTCTGACTCTCCCACTCTTTTCCTCTCTATAAAAAAAAATCAATAAAATATATATATATATATATTTTAAGTTTGTTTGGCTGAGCCCTAGCTGGTTTGGCTCAGTGGATAGAGCGTCAGCCTGCAAACTGAAGGATCCCAGGTTAAATTCCGGCCAAGGGCACATGCCCGGGTTGTGGGCCCGATCCCCAGTGTGGGGGTGCAGGAAGCTGATGGGTGATTCTTTCTCATCATTGATGTTTCTCTCTCTCTCTTGGTTTCAATAAAAATAAAAAAATAAAAAATCTGAAATCAATAAAAATAAAAAAGGGTGTTTGGCTGAGTAGTTTGACAAGGGGGACTTGACCTTAGTTTTTCATAAATTGAAGGAACTAAATTCTGTAGCTCTAAGAGTTTGATGTAAGTTAAGTAAAGAAGATTTTCAAAAACTTTCATTTTAAAAACATTTTATTTGCCAAAACCGGTTTGGCTCAGTGGCTAGAGCGTCGTCCTGCAGACTGGAAGGTCTCAGGTTCGATTCCGGTCAAGGGCATGTACCTTGGTTGCGGGCACATCCCCGGTGAGGGGTGTGCAGGAGGCAGCTGATTGATGATTCTCTCTCATTGATGTTTCTAGCTCTCTATCCCTCTCCCTTCCCCTCTGTAAAACATTGATAAAATATGTTTTAAAAAATAACAACATTTTATTGGCAGTGGTGTAGATGAATTAATATGTTTATATGTCCCCAAGCCTTCTTGTATTGGGTGGCGCATGTGGCTCTAAATGCACATGCTATATCAGTTGAGTGTTGACCTATGAACCCGGAGATCGTGGTTCAATTCCCAGACAGGACACATGTGGGGTTGTGGGCTCAATCCCAGTTGGGGGACGTGCAGAACGCAGCTGGTTGATGATGCGTTTCTCTCATCGATGTTTCTTTCTCCCCTCCTCTCTAAAATCAATATAAAATCCATACACATGTTTACCAGGAAAAAGAAACTAAGGGCTTCAGAGTTTAGCTTTGTGGGCACGATGACCACAGGAGGGCGCTGTGGGCCCCGACCCTTCCCTTGACCTCCCCAGCGTGCTAAGGACTGGACGGCAGCACTGGAGGTGCAAACCTGGGCTGACTAGCCGGGGGACCCTGCAATCTTAGCAGAGGGGCCCCAAAATCCAGAGCAGTGAATGAATGAGCAGGGGGAGAGCCTGGGCCCCAGAGGACCCGCCAGTCGGTCCTGTGGGATCAGCATCCCCGTTGGATGAAGACTTGGAGGGGCAGGCGGAGCGGGGAGAGGTTAGGCCGGTGGTGCGGACCCGGCAGTGGGTTAAGGGGACAGGGAGGAAGGGCAGGTCGGGAGGAGGAAATGGTTTTGACTTTATGGCCCCAGAGCTGGGGGGGGGGAGTGGGGGCTGAGGAAAGGGCCGGGTCCACCCACCGGCCTGGAGGCTGCGGTCCGGAGGGGTGGGCGCTGGCGGACAGTCCCCGCAGCGGGTGGGAGGGCCCCATGGGCGCTGGCGAGCGGGCCGGGCTGCGCTGGCGCCCCTCCACCAGCAGGGGTCGCGCGCGTCCTTCCAGGCGGGGAAGCGACACAAAGGAGCGCCGGGGATACTGTGCAGCCTGACCTTCCGCCAGGGGGCGCGGGGCCCACGCCGACCCCACATGTGTGCACAGAGCTCCCCAAGACAGACGGCCGGCTCTCCGTGGGGTTCAGAGGCCAGAGGCCACAGGAGCAGCCGCAGGCCAGGCCTCTGGGTCCCTGGGGGGTTTCCGGAGCAACCTTCACCTCGTGGCACACGTACACTCAGTCTGAGGCTAACAGCAAAAACACTGTTTTATGCCGACCTGACAGGAGAAATAGGCATCGTTTTCACTCATGCGCACGGAGGGCCTCTGCTCTGTCGGCTGTTGTGGTTTTTTATCTGACAACCTAAGGGAAAGGGGTCAGTGCCCGGAGCAGGCAGGGGTGAGTGCTGGACCAGTTCTCGCCCCCTGGCTGGAGGTTCGCGGACCGAACAGCACGTGAAAACGTCTCATTGTGAAATACAGCGAAGGCACGGCAAGCACCCCAAACTGATGCAGCCTGAGAAATGTGCCAGCCCGGGGAGGGAGACACCCCCTCCCACCCACCCAGGGCCCATCCATTGGTCTGACCACCTTGTCTTTATACTGTCGGTTACGCAGCCCTGAGCCTGGGTTTGGAGCCTTTTTAAAAATATATATATATATTTTTTATTGCTTTCAGGGAGGAAGGAAGAGGGAGAGAGAGGAACATCAACGATGAGAGAGAATCACTGACTAGCTGCCTCCTGCATGCCCCCCGCTGGGGGGGGGGCACAACCCAGGCCTGTGCCCCAACCGGGAATCAAACCGTGACCTCCTGGTTCCCAGGCTGATGTTCAACCCCTGAGCCACGTTGGTGGGGCCCAGGTTTGGAACTTTTATAAAGGGAACGGGCGGGGCCCGAGGCCTCTGTCACCCAGCATGGCTGCCGAGCGGGTAGTGCTGAGCTGGAGGGCCCCTCTGAACAGTGTGACTCCCTGAACTGGTCCCTGGAAGCCCAGGCGCTCAGGCTTGTCGCTCCCCTTACCCACCCCCCTCCTGCAGCTGTGCCCTGCCGCGCGCGCGCGCGCGCGCACACACACACACACACACACACACACACACACACACCCCGCCCCTGGGCCAGCGCTTCCGGACGCCACTCTTTGGTTCCCACAGTGAGAAAGCGATTGTGGCAAGATCCACGCTCACACAGCCTGCAGGAGCGGGGAAGGGGCTGGCGTGCGGGCTCTGCAAGGCACACAGCTGGGACCACGTGCGGTGCCCACGGAGTCAGAGAGAACAGGCAGGGATCTGGAGAGATGCCACTGGGTGGGAGAGAGCGGCGGCTCAGGCTGGGCCCAGGCGAGCAGGGTGCTGGGGAGGGCGGGCCTGGGCAGGGCGGCCATGGGACGGAGAGGGATGTCCCCGGGTTTCTCTCTGGAGGGAAGGCGGGCTGCCCTGAGGATGAAAGAGCTAGTGATAGACCTACTGGGCGCGGAGCTGCTGGCAGGCGGGCCCTCCCGCTCCGAGCCACCTCGCCTGGGCCTGGCTGCAGGGACGGGCCTGCCCCACTCGCAGGCAGTGTGTCCGACGGGATGGAGGCCAGCGGGAGGCTGCGGCCCGGCCCTGGCATCGCTGACTGGCCTCTGACTTCAGTCACCCCACCACCTGGCGAGGCAGAGGCAGGCGGGCTGCCCTGGGAGAGCTCCAGAGCCCAGGGGGACATGGAGGCTGGAGGGTTTGAGCTCCAGCCCATGGGGCTCAGTGGGTACAGCATCAGCTAGCAGACTGAAGGGTCCCGGGTTCGATTCCTGTCAAGGGCAGGTACCTGGTTGCAGGCTTGATCCCACGTGTGGGAGGCAACCAATCCCCGTGTCTGTCACATCAACGCTTCTCTCCGTCTGTCTCTCCACCTCTCGTTCGCCCTCCAAAAGCCAGTGGAAACACACCTGGGTAGGATGGTCAGAGGAGATGAAGGGAGAGGGGGAGGTGTGGGAGGGGAGGCAGGGGGGACGTGGCTGAGGAGCCCTGGCAGCGGGGGCGCTGTGGCCGCGCGAGGGCCGGACGCGGTCAAGTTCACACTCTGGTCGGCAGTCAGCGCCCCGACATTCCGATTCCGTTAGTAACTTAAAAAGAAAAAAAGCCAGGCGGGATCTGGGGTCCGGCCCCGGCGGCTCCGCGGCCAAGCGCGCCGTCCGGGCGGGTGACGTGGGGAGGGCGCGCCCCGCCGCCCCCTCCAGCGGCCCAACTCGCTCCCCTGCGGGCGGCGGCGGGGCCGCGGGGCTGAGCCTCGGGCTTCTCCCCGGCTCGGCGGTGACGCCAGCCGGGCCGCTCCGCCCCGAAGCCACGTCGCCCCTCTGAGTGGCTGCGGGGTCCCCCATCACAGCCTCTTCCCGCCCCGCCCGCCCGCCGCGGCCAGATCGCCGCCCGCCGTCTCCATGGCCCCGCGGGTCCCCGCCCGGGCCCCCGGACGCGCGCGCGCCTGGCGCCCCTCCTCCCGCCCCGCCCTCCCCGCCCCTGGCCCCGCCCTACATGTCCCCTGGCCCCGCCCTCCCCGTCCCTGGCCCGCCCTCCCCGTCCCTGGCCCGCCCCCACGTCACCTGGCCCCGCCCTCCATGTCCCCTGGCCCCGCCCTCCCCGTCCCCTGGCCCCGCCCTCCATGTCCCCTGGCCCCGCCCTCCCGGCCCCCTCGCCCAGCCTCCCCGTCACCTGGCTCCGCCCTCAGCGTCCCTGGCCACGCCCTCCCCGCCCCGGGCCCCGCCCTCCTCCCTCCCTCTCCTCCCCGTCCCCTCCTTCCCTCCCCCGCCCGCCGCCGCCGCCTCCGCCGCCGCCCGGGCCGCGTCGGGTAAACCTGTTTGGCGAGGCGGCCGCGCCGGGGCGGATCGAGCGGCCGGGCTCCCTCGCGGCTCGCGGCGTCGGGGCCCGTGGCGCGCGCGCGGCCGCCCCTCGGCGCGGAGCCCTCGGCGGCGCCACCATGTACTCGGGAGCCGGCCCCGGTGAGTGGCGGGCCCGGCCGCTCGCTCCTCCCGCGGCGGCGCTGGGCGGCGGCGGCGGTTGGCGCGGGCCGGGCGGGCGGGCTGGGGCCCGGCCTGGGCTCGGGTCCCGGTGCGGGTCCGGGTCCGGGTCCGGGTCCGGGTCCGGGGGCGCGGGCCGGGCCTGGGGGTCGGGTTCGGTCCGGGGGCGGCGGCTCAGCCCGGGCCGCGCGGACACGCAGATCGCGGCCTCGGGCCGAGTCGTCGGGGCGCCGCGCGGCCTGGGCCTCGGCTCCCGTCGCCGAGCCCGGGGCCGCGGGCGGCGCTCCGTGGTCCGGGCCGCGGGCGCCCGTAGGCCCGAGGCCGCGTCCGAGCCGCCGCCGGGAGGCCGGGGCGGGCGCGGGCGCGGGCCGGGCGGCGGGCGGCGGGCCGTGTCGGTTCGCGGGTGTCGGCTCGCGGCCCGGCCCGGGTTGGGCTGCGGGAGAGGCCGCGGGCGGCCGGCTGGCGGCGGGCGATGGCAGCGCACCGGGCCCGGGCGCCCGCGGCCGCCGGCGCCGGGGGGAGCGGGCCGGCTGCTCCCGGGGCGCCCCCGCCTCCTCCGGGAAAAGTTGTGGAAACTTCAGCGCGGAGCCAGCGCCTCCTTTGTTTGGATGCGGCCGAGGCGGACTGCGGGCCGCCCGGAGGGTCCGCCAGCACGTGGCCTCCGGCTCCGGGCCTGCCACTCGCCGGGCACCGCCTGCCCTTTGTCCCCAGGCCCGGGCCGCGGCTGCCCGCTGGGGTGGGGGTCCTGCCCCTTCCCGCCGCCGCCCTGCACCCCTCCTGCACCCCTCCCGCCCTGCACCCCTCCGCCCTGCACCCCTCCTGTCCTGCACCCCTCCCGCTCTGCACCTCTCCTGTACCTCTCCTGCCCTGCACCCCTCCGCCCTGCACCCCTCCCGCCCTCCGCTGCGCCCAGCCTCTGCGCCCGGCTGGAGGCCTGCTCTCTGAGGAGGCTTCCCCAGGCCCAGCATGCCCAGCGGTGCAGGGAGCTCAGCCAACGATGGAGCTGGTCTTGAACCCCTAGGAGGTGCCACAGGCCTGGGGCAGGTTTGGCTCCTGAGGCTCGGGGTGCTGGCCCCCCACGGGGACCCGGATGGCGGGCTCCGCGGTGGCACTCACTGCTCAGAGGCCTGGGGAGGCCAGGCACTCAGGTCCCTCTTGGACTCTGTCCAGCCTGAGGGCACTGGCTGTGGCACTGTGACCTTGACCCTCAGTAGGAAACACCTGTTCCGTCTAGTCGGCGCCCACAGGTAGCGCCGAGCGGGCCCAGGAGGCACGCCCCCTCCCCGCACCCTGACAGCTGCCTTCTCTCCTCTTCACCCTGGGCCTGGAGCCGCTCCGAGCTGCTCACAGGGCATAGGCTGCCTCCTGTGCGCGGCTCCGGGGACATGGGCACGTGGGGATGGCACCTGCCCGCTGGGGCAGCGCGGCTGGGAGATGATGGGTGGGTGGGCAGTGGGGCCGGCGGGCCTGTTCACACACGAGCTTTAGTTCTGTCTGAAAGGAGTTTGGGGGCTCAAGGCTCTTCGGTGAAACCTTTGAATGTGTTTCCTGACTTAGGGTCGTGAGGGGACATGGGATTGTGCCTCCAGTTTTAAGCAAACGTCCTAAGCTGATTGATGTTTAAAGCGAGGCTCACAGTGGCGTTTACAAACGGGGTTACAGGTGTGACTTGCCGTCCGGACCCCGTAGCCAGGCTGTTGCTCTCCCCTCTCCTCCTCCGAGCTCTGGGAAGGGGTGGTGGTCGGAGGGGCAGGGTCTCCTGTGGCCCTGAACCTTCAGAGGCAACAAAGTGTTTGTTTAAAACAATAGCAACACAAATCCACTTACAGGTCTCAGAGGGCCTGGCAGGGCCTGGCCGGGCCTGTCGGACGCTGAGCTTGCCCGACATCCTCCAGGTTCCTACAAAGTAGCCTGTGAGCCCGAGGCTGGGTGGAAAGTTGTCTGAGAAGAAACGTTTCACCTTGAACTCTGGCTCCTCCTGCAGCCCCCCTCCCGCCCCCCTTATCTCTGTGAGATGTGCCCGCTCTCGCCCGGTGCTCGGGCCACTGGCACCGCCCTGACCCCTGGAGAGGAGGTGGTAGAGGGGTGAGGAAGACGTAGAAGCGGCAGCTCTAGGCCTGGATGGCGTGGAGAGCAGAATTCTTTTGCAACTTCTGGTTGCACAACGGGGCTCCTCCACAGCTGTGCGGCCACTCCGCCCGCAGCACGTGGCCGTGAGCCTTGGAAACGTCGCACTCCGTTTTTTACTGCTTTTCATTGTAAACTGATTAAGATACACCCCGTCTGCCCCGGCCGGTGTGGCTCAGTGGATAGAGCATCGGTCTGCGGCCTGAGAGTCCCGGGTTCGATTCTGGTCAAGGGCACGAACCTCCGAGGCAGGCTCAATCCCGTGCGTGCGTGCGTGAGGCCTCTCACATCCATGTCTCTCTCTTTCTTCACCTTCCGCACTCCCTTCTCTCTCTGAAAATAATGGGAAGACATCCTTGGTTAAGAATTTAAAAAATAATAAAACTCACAAAGTCTGTGGCTAGTACGGCCCCTCACCCACCTGCAGCCTCGGCCACTGTCAGGTCTCCCACGTGCCCTGCTCCCTTCGCTCCATCTGCAGCCGTGTCTGTAGCCGGTCCCAGACCGCCCCCCGCCCCCCGCCGGGGCCGGGTCCCCGCCAGGCCGCCTTCCTCTGGGGTCCCGGTGTCAGTGAAAGTTCACATCCGCTGCTTTTACGTCTTTGAGGCGCTAGGCTCTAAAGCTAGGGGGCTCCCTCCCTGCCCCCCATTTCCTCTCTCTGGACTTGGGAGAAACCTTCAAGTTTAAGCTTCTCCATTGTAACTCGGCCTGGAGCTTTGGGGGTGAAGTCCGAGCGCAGGTGGGGGGTGGGGTGGGGGTGAGGGGTGAGGGCTGGACGCTCACAGTCGGGGCCTTGGGATGGTGGTCAGTGCAGGTCCTGCGGGGAGCTCAGAGCCAGGATTCTGGGGGGACAGGTGAGATGGGGGGTTGCGAGGAGTGGGAGGGACTTGGAGCCCAGGGGACGCTGAGCAGGTGGGTGCAGGCGGGCGGTCTGCCTGGGGCAGCCCCGGGAAGGTGGGAGTAAAGGACTGAGGAGCCCGCAGCATCTAACCTTCGTTTCTCACATCCCGGCCGACTCCATGGCCGCCTCAGCCTCATAGAAAATTTAATTCTTCTTAAAAATATATTTTATCAGTTTCAGGTAGGAAGGGAGAGGGAGAGAGAGAGAAGCAATGATCGGCTGACTCTTGCACACCCCCCAATGGGGACCGAGCCCATAACCCGGCCTGTGCCTGGTTCAAAGGCCAACGTGCACCCACTCAGGCCGCCGGGCTGAGATACAGGCTGGGGGAGAGTTCAGACGCAGGGAGCCCCGGGGAATGTGGCCTTGGTCCGCCCGGGCTCTGCCCCGGCCTCCACCCCCCCGCCCCCAACTTGAAGCATTGAGCTGTTGCGTTCACCAACATTCTTTTAACCATCTCGTTTGAAATAACTTTCTCTTTCTGGAAAAATGGCCAAGAGCACCTGGAGCTGTCCTCTGAGGGGGACGGCGCAGCGGGAGGCGGGGACGGGCCGGCCGCCTCCTCCCTGTCCCTGCTCTGGCCGCCCGGCCCCCTGCGTCCTCGCTCTCCAGCCCGGACGGCTCTTCCGTCTTCGCTGTGACCCTGACCCGGGAGCTCTCCAGGGTTTTCCTCGGGGCCTGTGGGTGCTCCGGGCTCCCCTGCCTGCGGCCTCGGCAGGGCATGGGGAGCTGGTCCCTCTCCCCGGGGGCCGGGCGGGCGAGGAGGGTGGGCGCTGGTGGGTGTGTGGCGGCCGGGAGTCCGTGTGGCCGTCCCGGGGCCGTGCAGAGCCCCGTGTGGACCTCGTGCCCATCCGTGTGGGTGACGTGTTTGTGGGTGGAGGGCCTGGCTCCCACACAGGCCGAGTGTTTGCTCAGACCCGGTGCGCGGTCATCTGGGGATGGGACCCGTGTCCCACCCAGAGCGGACGGGTCTGGTGGTCGGTGTGGCCGCGGCATTGCCTTCCGCCTCCCTTCGGTGTCCTCGCCCTGACCGTCCGGCCAGCGTGCAGGCCCCACGCGTGCCACGCAGCACTGCCTGCCTCCTGTCCTGGTTGGGCCGGTGTGAGGGGTGCGTGTGTGTGTGTGAGTGTGAGAGTGTGTGCGCGTGTGTGTGTGTGTGTGTGTGTGTGTGTGTGTGGAGGGGTGAGCCCGGTCGCCGCGGCGGCGGTAAATCTGAGACACGTTGGGAGCCAGGAGCCCGGCTCCTGTTACCGAGCTCCGGGGAGTGCGTGTTTGAGTTGCTACGAAGTCGCTGCCAAGTATGTGCTGAGCGGGATGCGGGAACAGTTGCTCCTAAAGCCGCGGCTGCTGGCCACACTGAGGCTCTGTGCTGGGGCCTGGCGGGGGGACGGGTGGGGGCGGGCCCAGCTGTCCCTCTGAGGCCGGCCGCCCGCCCTGCCCCGTACCGCACCCCACGCCCCGTACCGCACCCCACGCCCCGTACCGCACCCCACGCCCCGCACCCCACGCCCCCACGCCCCGTACCGCACCCCACGCCCCGCCCCGCACACCCCCTCACCGCACCCCACGCCCCGCCCCGCACCCCACGCCCCGTACCGCACCCCACGCCCCGCCCCGCACACCCCCTCACCGCACCCCACGCCCCGCCCCGCACCCCACGCCCCGCCCCGCACCCCACGCCCCGCCCCGCACCCCACGCCCCCACGCCCCGTACCGCACCCCACGCCCCCACGCCCCGTACCGCACCCCACGCCCCGCCCCGCACCCCACGCCCCGCCCCGCACCCCACGCCCCGCCCCGCACCCCACGCCCCGCCCCGCACCCCACGCCCCGCCCCGCACCCCACGCCCCCACGCCCCGTACCGCACCCCACGCCCCCACGCCCCGTACCGCACCCCACGCCCCCACGCCCCGTACCGCACCCCACGCCCCGCCCCGCACCCCACGCCCCGCC